ACGGCGCGGCTCTTCCCAGCGCAGTACTACCACGCTCTCCGGTTCAGCCCCCTCTGTTCCCCGCGACGAGACCGTGAGCTGTGTGTAGCGTAGGCTCGGTCGAGCGATTGCGGCTGCGCACGCAGTGCGCAGTGCTCCCTCGATCGGGCCGATGTGAAGAGCCGTCGCCCCCAGCCTCCGGCGGTGTCATATCCCGGCAAACATGACATGACAGCACCCAGGCATGCTATAGTACAGCCGTCCAAGATCTGTGCGGGAGTAGCAGAACAACACGAGACGCAACGGCGACAGGCGGGCCCCGCGAGCGATGAAAGAGGTACACAACGAACCCAAAATGATCTCGCCGGCAGCCGACCGGTTCAGCTGCCGACGGCGTGGCCGAAGGATGTGTCAGCCACGCGAGAGGAATGTTCGGACCACGTTCCGCACCGCCGATGCCGTCAGCACGTGCACCACAACAGGGTCATCTGATGATTAACCACGAAAATGTAGTATTCCCGTGCCAGGCTGCTCCTAGCCGGCTGGAACGTTGGTAGAACATTTTGAGTGGACTTGAACATTTTCTGCACGAGTGCATGAACAGCTTGAGCACCGATTTCGCCTATCCACCGGGCTCGTTATTGTATATATTTTGATTTTAATGCTTTGCTACATGGTCCAAGCCATATTCTTCACATAATCTGCTCGGGACATCTGCCATGTCGGTGTGCGAGCGGAAGCAGCCCGGAAGCGGAAGCGGGCTGCTTCCGATGGTTCGGTTTTCGCGGAGTTCAAACTGCTCTTGACTTGTTTCCTTTCGCGAGCGTTGACGACCCGACACCCACTCGGCCTGGTGCGTGCGCCTTTCGGCTGCGCGCGCCTTTCAGCTGCTCCTGCCTTTGCGCTATCGCAGACCGTTGCGCCTATTTACAGGCAGCATAGCGAGTGCGCCGCGCGTCTCAAACCGGCCAGGGCCCATTCTCGTGGGAGCCCCGCTTGGCTCTCTTCCGCGCATGCGATATCTTGGGCCGTCGACAACCTCACACCTCTTTGACATTTTGTTTTCCTTGACCGTCTTGGGGTCTTCCTTGTGGTCTGTGATACACCGTACGTCTCTCTCACTGTGCGTTTGCGACTGTCTGCTCACGAGTCACAATGCATTGCAGGCTTCCTAAGATTGTGCGACTGTACGTCCTTTTGATTCCCTCGCTTTTTCCCTCGCTGTATGTAGTGCCCTGGGCCATTTCGTGCCGTTGTATACGGTGTACTCGTCTCAATATATCTATATCTTTTTCCAACCTTTTTCTTTGCTCGAGAATCCGATTGGTGAAGTCAGGTAAGTGAACATTCAAGATGTGGTTGCGGTGTTGGGGGCAGATTGGACAGAACGTTCTGGCCACCTGCGTCTGAGATTATGCTGGAACCGGTTCGGAAATCAGGCGGCTGGAACGTGATTACGGGATCCTGCCGGCAATGCTTGCCCATCCTCCGGACGATGCCGGTGGAATGTGCCGGCAACGTGGGATCGGAGTCGGTGTGTAGCTAGTATCCCCTCCCTTCCTGCGACATTGGTTTTTTCTTCCTGCACCTAGTTGTATTTTGTAATTATTGGCCGCACTGTGATGGAAACGAGGCTTCTCTCACACGGCTCAGCATGTCTTTCTCGACATCGTGCCCCTTCACAAGGTCGCTCGAGTCAGGCAAACCGCATGAACCCTGTAATTCTGGGTCACAGAGATAATGCTCAGACTTGACATCGCACGAAGTCCTGCTCTACTGCAAGGGAACATACACATCTCATCACTACGGGAGAGGCTTCGAATTGCTCTCGCCCGGGTCTGACAATACTGTAATAACGCATTCGCTAGTCTCTATTGGGCTCGACAAGAGACGGAACGGTAGACACAGTTTTATGCTCTTGGTGGTCATGTACTTTGATACATTGGACATAGGTTCGTTGTCTCAACTTTCCGCTGTAGCGGGGGCTTGACGCGTCGGCCAATTCCGCACCTTGTCTCTCCTCGTTATGCCGGGCCCTGGAGGCAAAAAGAATAAAAACAAGCCGACGCCGCGTCCGGTGCCCGCAGCACTCGATCTCGCGGATGCACCGTTGAACGCGTGCGCAGAGCGAATCTGCGCGGTCCTGGAGTTGCCAGGCGAGTCGAACTGCCGATGTGGCGCAGGATCACAGGGCGTGCGGCTGACTTTACACAGAGCTCAAAACGCGGAGTGGCTTGAAGCACGTTCACAAGGACTTTGATACGATACAGCGCAAGCTTACCGCGCTGTATCATGCGCATCCAAACGATGACCGGGTTCTGGGTGGTATCGTCGTGATCTGGGGCAAGCTTTCTTCGGACATCAAGCTGCGCGATATGCTCCTTGCACAGGGTACATCGTCAAATCAAGCTCGATTTGAAACTAACTTGCGCTTTGTTAGGTGTACTCGACAAGATTGTTCTTGCACTGGCGCGAAAGCCGTGTCAAGTTGCGGCTCTGCGTGTGCTTGCGTTGATGACGACCAACGGCGGCGAGGATGCGCGTAAGAAAGTGGCCAACGCGACCACGTCTTCCATATTGGATATCATGAACGCTGAACGAGGGAGTCGCTTCATTGTCGACCTCTGCGTTTCCATTCTCTCGCATGCGCTTTCAGGGCGTCTCGACCACAGCCGTCTTGAGCCCCGCAGCAGTTCGTTCCCCTGGGCCCGCGTCCTTGATTCTCTCTTGGACGTTCTTGCTACCCCTGGCGTCAGCTCCGTATCGTTCGACCATGCGCAGGAATTCCTCGTGCATGGAACGCAGAGTCTGCGGCACTTCTATCTCGCGAACCCGCGCGCCATCCGCTTCATCGTAGCTCTCGTTCACTCGGACAGCCTCGAATATCGTTGCACTGCCCTCTTTGCCCTCATGAATCTGCACTTCCACGCAGCAGACTCCAAAATCAGCCGCGAGGTCGACCCGCTAAAGCTCATGCACGTTCGCTGGCCCCAGCACATCTCAGACGTGATGGTGGCGTACGGCGGGACGCGATGCGAGGTTTACCAAATCATGAATGCTACTGTCGACTACCAGCAGGCG